TTACTGGAAATGCGTATACTTTATCAGAATACGAGACAATTTAGAATTAACTTTTGAGACCGTCGTCACTGAAAAAGGATTTCAGAAACAAATCTGAAGAGCCGATGAAAATGGACTGAAATGGTGAAACTCAAAGAAGATAAACAAGTAGGTCAAAACTTCATTGAATCGAAACATGTGGCGGTGGTAATCTTGTTAAATTATTTAAAAACAAAGGAAATGCTTAAGAATTGCGAAGCTAAATGACTAGAATGTGTTTTGACTCTGCCAGTTTACAGGGTACGGGAGCAGCACGGAAGAGGGCGGGAGGCGGGAGATAAAGGTACGGAAAGCGGGAGAGCAGGGTACGGGAGGCGGGAGGTTCTGACCCCCCTGTCCCATCCCCCCCCCCACCGTATTGCTTGTAAACATTCAAAATCAAAAGTTAGAAGATTCACAAGAGATTCGCCGAGCCATCATGTCAGATGTTCGCACCAACGTCGATCTATTTCAGTGTTTTAAAATAAACTCTTTCACGGTTAGATTTGTTATCAGCCTACCTTAAGGCTCTACATCCTCAGTCCTCTCAGAAAATTTTCAAGGTAAAATGAAATATTTCACTCTACAACGTAGTGTAAACGCCCCGGCTATTTTGGCGTGAAAGTTGACTTGCTGTTTCGTAGCAAAAGTCATGATTTGTCCTTTGGCTCGTTTCCACTCGAATACGAAGAATGAAAAAGAATGATCACAATCCGTACTGGGTCTACTGGGTATGTTCCAGTATTTGTTCACCATAGGTGCTGCATACGCTTCTATACCACTTTATTCCAAACCGATTCAGTTTCCGTTGTAAATTGAAACAAAAAGTAATCAAGTGAAAGAAAAAGGAAGGCGCGTACATGAAGATGAAAACAGGCTGTTTGTGTCTAAATTTAAGGCGCGAAAATCTTAAACAATAATGATAAACAACTTGTTTGAATGCATGATATGGTAAGTAAACATCTAGGGGAAAAACTCTGGCAAAAAGTCCTTTATATGGACGGAAACAGGCGAAATACAAACTTCACAAGGAACGCAGCCGATACTCAGGAGTCTAAGAATGTTCAAGACAGATTTGCAAGACCAGCGTCTTAATAAAACGCAGATAACAATCGAAAGAAAGTTGAAATCCATGAAGCGCTGAGAGAAAGAGGAAGCTCATTGCCCTCCCGTTTCGTCAAAGGTACTTATTGTATTCTAACCGTACTGAACTCTATTCTTCCATCCGGCTCTTGCTAAATTACTGTGTAGCTACAATTTACAAAAGGTAGTGAACGAAAACTTCGCGAAATTACAGTTTCGTGTAACTGAGTTTCAATCTGGCTCCTCTAGACACATGANTGAACTCTATTCTTCCATCTTTTGCTAAACTACTGTGTAGCTACAATTTACAAAAGGTAGTGAACGAAAACTTCGCGGAGTAATAATTTCGTGTGACTGAGTTTCAATCTGGCTCCTCTAGACACATGACTTCACACATTTAAATCCGATGGCAAATAATTTTCTTTAAAACTGAATTCTGAACAATTTATGAATAGCAAAGTTGAGAGTACTAAGCAAAGGATTGCTTTAACCAAATTTGAGAGATTTAGCTGTGCTAGAAAGCATCCTCTCACGTTTTAAATTTTCGGTACATTTGTCCGTACTTTTTTCCCGCGAACTCGTAACGTCGTGTAAAAATTTGGAGACAAATGTCTGGAAAATATAAAACGCGACTGCGCGCTTTCTAGCATAGCTACACCCCTCAAATTTGGTCAACGCAATCTTTTAAATTGTATCCTAACTTCATCCTAACTTATCCTAACTAACATTCATAAATTGTTCAATTTTTAAGAAATTATTTGCGATCGGATTCTTGTACAAAGACTAATTTTTGACTCGTGTTGGCTACCCGTCAAGATGGCTTTCTATATTTCTAGTTTGCTCTGGATTATAGGTTTAATTGCCATAAACTCTAGATAGCGAACTACCATAGCTTTAAACAAACGAATCAGTAGCTGCAACGACAGAACAGTTAAACAAATATTAAAGGCTTACAATGCAATAAAAACCGTTGTTTTAAATAGAACCTGCTTTTCAGTTTAATAATAATAATAATAATAATAATAATAATTAAAATTAAAACGATATTAAAACGATGGTTGACAAGTCACAGAATGACCCGAAATGTAGAATCTGTAAGCAGAGTAGCGAGACCATTAGCCATATTGTAAGTTCGTGCTCGAAACTGGCACAAAAAGAATACAAAAGGAGACATGATAACGTGGCTAGAGCAATCCATTGGGACCTGTCAGGAAAATGTGGGTTTGAACGAAAGGATAGATGGTATGACGATGTTCCAGACAGTGTGCTTGAAAATGAGGATTACAAACTTCTATGAGACTTCAGTGTGCGAACAGACCATGAAATAGGGGCTAGTAGACCGGATTTGGTGAGCATTGACAAGAGAGACAAGAGCTGTCAGATTATAGATGTGGCAATTCCAGAGGATAATGGGGTGAGAGAGAAGGAAGATGAAAAAGTTGAAAAGTATCAAGATCTAGCAAGAGAAGTTCGAAAAATGTGGGGTGTGAGGACAAAGGTTATTCCAGTGGTAGTGGGAGCATTGGGATCAATACCACTGAGATTGAATGACAGTCTGAGAGCCATTGAGGTGGGCATTCCTGTTGGACTGATCCAGAGATGTGCATTGTTGGGGTCGGCAAGAATTCTTAGAAAGGTGCTGGAGATGTAGAAAGAAGAGAAAAAGCAAACAAGGGGTGTTTCTTGGCTTCCCTAGGCAACTTGTTGTTGCCCGGAGCCAATGGCGAAACCAGCTTCAATATCATCAATAGCTGTGCGAATCTTTAGTAATAATAATAATAATAAAAATAATAATAAAAATAATGACTTTACTGGATAACACAATTACTGGTAAAACCGGTAGTTCTCACTGTGGTCCTTAAAATCTACCCAACAAATACAATTACAAATTCGAATAGGAAAATACAAAGAAAAAATACAATTGAAAATTGTATTTTCTCAATCTCAGTGAATTGACTATCGTCAGAGTTATCAGCATATACATTTTAGAATAACACCTGACAATAATTTGCCAGGTAAAGTATATTTAGGCAATCCTCTTTCGCAACGTTTGAAATGAATTCCTAAAGCAATGAATAAAATATTGAACAGTTAATGATTATGAGTTAGTTTGATCCGTTTTCACAAAACGTGATTTCGGTTCTTTTAAAGGGTTTCTTTCACCATCCGTTTTTTCGTATCCCGGAGGTTTCTGTCCTTAGTGGTGTAAAACGAGATTCTCAGTTAAATTCTAATTAATAAGAGTGATGCACCTACAGGTTTAATATAATCCTACATCGTTGCAACAGTTATCTAAGATAAAACTGTTCAATAGATACACTGGCATCTTACTGTTCCATCGCTTTCTTTTGGATATTTCCAGAGCAGAACAGTACAAAATGACGTGCTATAAAGACTGTGCTTACCATGCAAACACGCAGAAGGTAATCATCAGCAAAAGGAAAAATAATCCTCCAAAAACAGGTACAGCTATCAAGGCAATGGATATACCACCTCTGTTGTGTTCATTCGTCCCTAATCCCTCGTCTGCATCTAGAAAATCATCTAAACTTCTGCTATCTGCTAATGAAGTACCACTCCAGCGAATATCAGAAACTGGAGGCGAGAATGGTTCTGCGCTTGATTCTGTCTCAGAGTTATCAAACTCGAAATCGTTTGTGTCTCCAGATGCATATCTTTTTCGCTTGAAAGAAGATTTATCTGTTTCCCCTTCAAATGCAATTCCTTGGGTATCAGTAGATTTTGACAGCAACTTTTTCCTACTTAACTTTATCAGCAGGCGTTCTGATGCCAATTTCACGTCGGCATCAGCTTTCTTGATAGACTCTGTAAATGGTATAATGATGACAGTAACAATTACAAGCAAAGGACAGGTAAACTTGTCTTATGAATGACCGAAAAAAAAAAAAAGAATTCAAAGGCTGACCAGTATGGATGATAAAAAGCTGAACGTGACATTACAAATGTTTAAAAATCCAACCTAAAATTTGGGTGTAAAGATTATATATAGATTGCTTCATGGACAGTGCGCACGTACGGTATTTACGCACGAGATTTCTGATACAAAAACAACGAGTGCGTAAATACCGTACAAAGCACTTTCCATGCTGTAATTTGTTTATTTTATACTCAATGAGATTTTCACCCTCAACCAGATTTTCACCCTTCATTCGCAGAACAAATGTCAAGTTATGTTTTTATTCCGTCTGAGTGCCAGCACTTTATCGCTCCTTCAAAAACCTAGTGTAAATATTTTTCGTACAGAATGTTTACCTGGTCATCAGTCAACGCTTCAGCTGCATTTGATTTGTTTCCCTTGCCCTGCTTTTTTTTTAAGTCGTTTGCTTCGAGCTTCCACACATTTCCTTGCTTGGTAAAACTCTTTGTCGTCGATAGCACTTACGGCATATTTGCCTTCTTTAAAACTTTTCTTGCCTTTTCCTTCTGTTTGAGGAATTCGCTAAGCAAGCTAACCTTAACGTCTCGTTCTGCTGTTCCTAGATGTACTTTTTAATGGGTTTATCGCATGAGCTTTTCATGCGATCGATTCTATGCGAAAATCTCAGTAAGTATGAAATAAAATCCCATTTGATCTTCCCATGTTTGTGAATTACATTGCTCAACCTTTAATATTTCGCCTATTTATTCCCTGCATTCTCCAGCTTCTTGTCACATGGGAAGTCTTAGAATTCCTCCTGTTTCAAGTCTTAGAATTCCCCCTGTTTCAACTATTTATCGGTTTCTGATTCTGGGTTCATGTTTTCAGGTGCACTAGATTTCCCCTCGGTGTCAGATTATGATACTTCACCTGTTTCGAATTCAGGGCCCTTACCTTTAGGTTCACCAAAGTCCCAATCAGAGTCTGATCCTGACAGTTCGTCGGTCTCTGATTCTGGGTCCACACCTTCAGGTGAGTGGGAGTCCCAATCAGTGTCAGTTCCTGACTGCTTCTCTGTCTGTACTTTCCGTTCGATATCATATTTCTCTGATTCAAGGTCCCTATCTTCAGGTGCTTCAGAGTTCTCGTCAGTGTCAGATCCTGACAGTTTGTCTGTCTCTGATTCAGGGCCCATATCTTCGGGAGCACCAGAGTCAGCTCCCGATCCTGACAGTTCGTCAGTTTCTGATTCAGGGTCCATATCTTCAGGTGCACCAGAGTTCCAGTCGGTGTCCGATACTGACAGTTGGTCATTCTCTCTTTCAGGGTCCATATCTCCAGGTGCCCCAGAGTCCCAGTCGGCGTCCGATGCTGACAGCTCGTCTGTCTCTGATTCAAGGTCCATATCTTCAGGTTCAGAATTCCACTAGAATAGAAGATTTTTTGAATTGTTAAACTGTTAAAGGTAAGAAAAGCCTCAGTCAGTTTCCGGCTTTAAAACTACTCTATGCGTTGTTGATTAGGTGAAAAAAAAGTATTTGATGCTGAGTTTCACCAGTGCCCAGTCCTCTTACACGCGACAGCTGCAACCGCAGTTGAGCGGCAGTCAAAACATATTGTCCAAACGAAATGACACGATAAAAATCAAGATAAGAAAGATATGATAAGATGTAGATAAGAAAATAACAAAGAGAATACTAAAGTTTTGTTGCGCAATTTTAGACTTAACTCGAGAATTCTGGGTTTATTTTATTAAAGGAGCAAGATGTTTTGTTCCCTATAACCCAGCATTTTTATACCTGACTATACTGGACAATCGAGTTAGCGGGTGTGGCCTACCCAGTTTTGGCATTATTTGGAAGCTTATAGCAACAAAATGTTTAAGAATATATTTCATTCATTACACGTCATGGTTTTTGCGAACCTCGCCGAGAAAAGAGGCTTGACTTCAGCGCCCTTCTTTTAGCATACCTTTTAGGCCAGAACAGTACAGGTTTTCCCTCCTGCTGTATCTCACAGGCGTCGGCTCGTTTGCAGGGTTGTGCAAGCGCAAGGGTAAATACACATAAAAAGACAAACTGATAGTCAACTGGTGAATACAGTGGGCCCTGGCTCAGGAATCGTATGCTAAGGTTTACCAGAACCCAACTCAACAGTGCCAGATGATGAATGCACTAATGATAGAAGAGTTCTACTCCGTGTCAAATGGAGAATGATGTTTGTGTAACTGGCTTTAAGTACCTTATGTCGACGTTCATCAGATCGCAACTTGAAACCATCAGGTGTTGATTTGTATGAATCCTGCTTTTTGCCTGAATACGGTTCTTTCCTCTGATGGACCTGTTTTACAACCTTCTTTAGGTTCAGGTTTGCTTTTGGCAATATCTCCTGGTTATCAGCTTCAGAAGGTTTGTGAGACATGATGCCAGCACCTTTAAACTCTGGTGATGCTTTAATCACTTGGTCATCCATATGTGGACTCTGGTTGGTTAATTTCACATTAGTCCCATGTGCGGACACTAGTGATCCATGTGACTGCGCGTGTCTAACTTGAGAAGAACGATGGCCAACATTCTGTAATGCTTCACTAAGAGAAGCCAATAGACCTGGTCTTGATTTCAGAAGATGTACAACTTTCTTAGAAAGATGTTTTTCCAAATTGGTGCTCTTAAGTGGTTTGCTCAAATCAAGTGAAGTGAACATATCTTTGTTTTTAATCCCTTTTTGGGTACCCCTAGACAGGGGATTATAAGATGGTTTGTCGCTGGCATATGAACCAGTTCCAGTAAAATCATCTGTAGTCCCCTCAGTTCTGTGCTTGACAGAGTCTGAAGGTAACCCAGGAGCAATATTTGCCTCCTTGGGATATCTTGATGGTAGAGAATTCCCTGCAGGTAAGACAGAAAAATAAAACTTTCTCATACCACCTGTACAATATTCATACAAGTGTAATGACTGGGGAACGATATAAAGGTCTAATCAATTTTCATCTGAGTATGTAGAGTGAGTGACTCACATTTAAATTTTTACATTACTTAGCTTAGTGTTGGTCTAAATAAAACTCATGGTCTTCCTTTAGCAATCAACAGCGTTTTTAACTCAGTCACACACATTTTCCATTTTTCATTGGCGGCGTTGTTTTTTGGATGAAACCAGAACTTGGGCATTTGCATTTTTTGTTCTCAGCTAGAGGCATTTGACCAACTTATCTGTCAACACCGAGGAATTTGCCTTTACTTGAAACACATGCTAAAACTCGGGGCTCTATTTGTCTGGATTGACTGATGCATAATCGACACCCAGCATTTTGTTGGCTTACTCGAGGAATGCTTTGATACTAGTCAAACCCAAAGTCACACTTTATCTTGAGACGAGATATTATCTATGACGCCCAGACAAACGAAACCATGAGAGCGCCACAGTAACTTCTTGGCTGTCAGACTTTATTTCAAGCAGTGCCTAAATTGGTGCAACCTGTAAATTCAACCATTTGCGTATATTGAATAAAGTGCTATGTAAAGAAAATTAATTTCCATTTTGAATTGGTCCATTTGGCACACACATAGGTCATACAAAGCACCCAGGTCAACATACACTGGAAAAGTTGAAAATTTACATGGACATGTCAATTTTAATTTACAGTATGTAAATCTTGATTTACATTCTTTGTAAATTACAATTTACATGT